TTTCAAGACGGGTCGCTGGTGACCATTACGCCAGCATCCTTGCAGATGCGCGGTCCTCAGTCCACCGCAGGGTATTATGCAACGGGCTATAACACTCCCGGAGGAGCCACGTTCCCGAAGCCTTTTTCCCCCGCGACGAACTGATGCTGGCCTAGACGCGGCGAAGTGCACCGGAGAGAACCCCGGATGATCCGCCGCGCCCAAGTCTGGTCACAAGCGCTTCCCTTTCAACAATTTCACGTACTATTTAACCCTCTTTTCAAGGTGCTTTTCATCTTTCGATCACTCTACTTGTGCGCTATCGGTCTCTGGCCAATATTTAGCTTTAGAAGACATATACCTCCCATTTTGAGCAGCATTCCCAAACTACTCGACTCGTCGAAGGAGCTTTACAGAGGCTCGGTGGCCAGCCAGACGGGGCTCTCACCCTCTGTGGCGTCCCGTTCCAGGGAACTCGGGCGGCACCTCACCAAAAGCATCCTCTACAAATTACAACTCGGACCCCGAGGGGCCAGATTTCAAATTTGAGCTGTTGCCGCTTCACTCGCCGTTACTGGGGCAATCCCTGTTGGTTTCTTTTCCTCCGCTTATTGATATGCTTAAGTTCAGCGGGTATTCCTACCTGATCCGAGGTCAACATTTCAGAAGTTTGGGGTGTTTAACGGCTGTGGACGCGCCGCGCTCCCGATGCGAGTGTGCAAACTACTGCGCAGGAGAGGCTGCGGCGAGACCGCCACTGTATTTCGGGGCCGGCCCCGTAAAGGGCCGATCCCCAACGCCGACCCCCCGGAGGGGTTCGAGGGTTGAAATGACGCTCGGACAGGCATGCCCGCCAGAATACTGGCGGGCGCAATGTGCGTTCAAAGATTCGATGATTCACTGAATTCTGCAATTCACATTACTTATCGCATTTCGCTGCGTTCTTCATCGATGCCAGAACCAAGAGATCCGTTGTTGAAAGTTTTGATTCATTTTCGAAACGCCCACGAGGGGCGCCGAGATGGCTCAGATAGTAAAAAACCCGCGAGGGGGTATACAATAAGAGTTTTGGTTGGTCCTCCGGCGGGCGCCTTGGTCCGGGGCTGCGACGCACCCGGGGCAGAGATCCCGCCGAGGCAACAGTTTGGTAACGTTCACA